AACCTCTTAAACATGATTATGCTGGTATAGTTACTTATCGTAATAGATTACGTGACGTTTTATTGGAAGGTGTTGATGTTCAATGGGATAAAAAATGTATTGGATATGAAGAATGTGAAAATGGTGTTTGGGCTTTATTCGAGGATGGAACGAGAGAATTTGGAGATTTATTAGTTGGCGCTGATGGAATTAATTCACCAAGTAAGTTATATAATAAATTTTATTTACTGTAATTTGCACAATAAAAAAAAAAAAAAAAAACCCCCCAATCATATTACTTATTTTATTTTTAATTTATAGTTCGAAAACAAAAAGTTCCTGACTTGAAAATTTTTGACCTTGGAGTAACCAGTGTTGATATAGATATTTCTATACCAAAAGACCTAGCCGATAAATTTATGAAATTTTATTCAAATGCATTAATGCAACAATCACTTGGTCGAAATGGTGATTGGATTTTTTCTTTGATACGATTAGTACCAATCGACCAATCTGATAATCCAAGTTATAGATTTACATTTTCATATAATTACCCTACAATCCTTGATACTGAAGATAAAAATATTCTAGTTGACGATGATAATCCTGAATCTGTTATTAAACATGCAATTTCAAGAATTAAGCAATTACGTCCTCCTTGTAAATTAACTGATATGATGATTGAATTATATTCTTTGGTTCCACTTTCTGATCCAGAAGAAAAGGATTCATCTAGAAACTATAATCCTCCACGACGTCGTCAACTTCGTGATATTAATCCATTATCTGTACCACCCTGGAAAGATGATAGAATCATTTTGTTAGGTGATGCCGCCCATGCTATGAATCCACTATTAGGATTAGGTTTGCATTTATTTAAACTTACTTTATGAAAAATCTTATTAACCTTAATATTCTAGTAGTTACTCATTTTACATTTATATATATATGTGTGTGTTTTTTTTAAAGGTGCAAATAACGCGATACAAGATGCCGATCTGTTAACCAAGGAATTAATTAATTCCGAAAATAAAGATTTAATCGCGTGCATTCAACGATACAACGAACAAATGCGAGTTCGATCATCTAAAGACGTTCTAGCGTCACGTAACATGGTACTAAGGCAACGAAAACCAGTGGGAAATTTTGGTTTAATTCTTAGATATTCTTTTTTAAAAGTTCTTACAGCCTTTCTCTATGTTTCTGCATTTATTAAAATTCATAAATGTTAGTTCAAGAATGTATAAATCCTATTCTAATTTATGTAATTTATGTTTATAAAGTATTTTGTATAACAGATAATAGTTTTTATTAATTTATATACTGTATTCATCATTCAAATAAAATTGTATCGATTGCATATTAAAGATACTAAATATACCTGAATATTAAGAGTGAAATGTTTTGTTTACTAAATAAATCATTCTTAGACTTTTAACAAAGGTTATAGAGTATCAAAATCATTAAAAATTGGATTTATAAATTGCGAAATATTGTTTCTAAGCCCTAATTAGTCTAATTAGAGCTCTCGATTACGTCATCTCACGGTCGATTTTATTAGAAATGTTATATAAACTTTTTCCTTATCGTATATGACTCTGCGATAAGAAAGTGCAAAGAATGCTACAAAGGGTTTTTATTCTTTCTCAGTAGAGTTATCAAAATTCATATGTTACTGGGAATTTGTGGTTCCCAGATCGTCGACTTTCACGTTTTATAGGAGCGATCTCAAAATTGTTAATTTGCCTCAAGAAAATAACAATATATTCAGTTTTTTTTTTTTTTTTTTTGAAACTTACAGTCAAATATGTAGATTTTCTTTATGTGGCGGATCTGATATTTATTAGATTAATCGAGCAATTTTTTTCGGGCGATCTAGATCCGAAGGAACATGCGTCGTAGAATTTACCTCCCAAAAGTTAAAATATAGTCATATTCATTTACATTTAATTAATCATCAAATTGTAATATTTGTCGGAAATAAATTTAAAATTCCGTACGTAACTGATTTTGTGGCGATGTAGGTGGGTCTGATTTAGGTGCTTGAGAACACCCTCAATCAGATTCAATCAGGCTAGTGATGCAGTAGAACCGTCCCAATGATTGCCGTAACATAAGCTTTAGCCAAACTTATGTTGTAATTAGTTACGGCAATCATTGAGACGATTCTACTGCATCACTAGTTATGGCATAACAGATACGGCAGTAACTATAGATAACTGACAACTCTTTACCATCTCTAACTTGTAACATATGAAATCAACACAAGACTCTTTCTTTATAATTATTTAAAATATATTTTTTTTATAAATAAAATATTTTTAAGAGTGCTTTTAGGCATCTCCCGCGGGAGAGATATCTCCCCCTCTATGGTCTAAGTTATTGACTATTGAGTAAAAATTATCCAGAAAAAA